TGATCACCACCTCTTTCTCAGTCTCTCCATTCATATAAAATCCTGTTGATACTAAAATGTCAATTTCATCGTTTCTTTCGCCATTATCGTACATTGTCAGTGTGTCGCCGTTCTTCGACAGCCTTTCTCCATTTAAAAAGAATCGCTGCATCTCTATATATTATTCTTTGTTAAGACCTGGCTAACCATTAAACAAACGAAATACACTTTGCAAACTCTTGAGGTAGTCCATATTGACAACTCTGTTTATTACCACATTTGGAAGAGTCATTCTGCTCTTCGCAAGTTTATCAAAAGCGTCATAATTTAAATTAATAAATAAAAGTGGAGATTTTTTGATTCCATTCTCTGTAAACATCAAGTCTTGGCACGCCTGAATATTTGTGTTGACCTTTTCAAATGAGAAATATGGAAAAATTGCGTTGTTGACTCGGACCAAATCAAGTTCTTTCACACTTCCAAAATTACCAAAGAAATTTGTTCTTTCAGAACCTTCCATTGTCACCTCTCGCAATTTCAGGCTTTTCGTAGCAATATTAACATGTTGTGACCTTACAACAAGTATTTTAATCACATTGGGGAGGCCAAACGAGTCGCTCTCGTCATTAGTACCCAACGAAACGTTTTCGGAGTCTATCACATTCACTTTTTCCAAATTAGGTAAAAATTGTGATATCCAAACATTTCTCGACGAAATGACTTTGATAACCTTCAAGTATTGGCAGTCGGCAGGAAAATGTGGGATGATGTTGACAGCCTTTTCTACCACTACAGGATTAATTTTGAGTAAAAAGAGCTCTTTCACGTACTCTGGTATTTCCCACCAGACTGTTTTTGGGTTGTCATCTGTTATAATCCTCCCAAGGTTTCTTTCTATTTCACTTTTTAACGCACTGTTGTACTCCATGTTCACAACACACACCTCCGCATAACGCTTTTCAATCAAACTATTAAATTTGTTATTATCAAAACTTCCCTCTATCGCAACAAACCGTGAGGGCAAAACATAAGATGTCTCCCAGTCTTTTATTTGTTGTTTCGTTAGTATTTTATAGAAACTTTTAACACCAAGCTTTTGGAGTTTTTCGATGGTGTTTTCTGAAAAAGCGGAATAAAACGAGATGAGCACAATTTCAATATTACACATGTCAAGGTAATTACTCATTTCATTAAAAATGGGAATTGTAGAGTGTGGAAATAGAAATCCATCATTTCCCACCTCAACGTGTATCTTTTTTAAAAAATGGTGCATCGGAAATTTCCCATTTTCTGTTGCAGACCTACAGAACTCGAGAATAAGCACGATGTCCCCGTTGAGTGACTCCAACATAATAAACAACTTTGCACTTAAAATCGCAAATCGCGAGAAATCAATTTTATCTTTTCGGAGTGATAATGTCGTCACTTTTGGAAAGAGAAATTGCGCTATGTCACGGTACGAGTCATTCGAGACGGGAAATGCAGAATTTCTCAGAAAAACACACCGCGACATCAATTCCTTGTTGACAAACTGAAAAGAGCAACAGTTCATCGTCTCTGGAGTAAAGTGGGTGTGGAACTTCATGATAGAATATGGTGACGAAAACCAAGGGTTGATCTTTAGACTCTTTACTGCATCTAGCGACTTTTTGTTTATTCGAACAAATGTTGAGACGTCGCTGTACGTTGGGAAATACAGCACGACGTTCATCTGGTACATTCTTTCCAACTTAGTCATCTTCTTTTTTTAATTCACAACACTACTTTTTGTTGGTTAATTAATAATATGGTTTTCTGTTTTTGTTTAATTATATTATTAATTTTGGTGGTTTTATAAGGAAATCAATTTGTTTTTGCATTGAATGCAATTTGATCAACAAAAAGTTTAACGTACACATCGAATATACCAACTTATATGAGAAATGAATCTCGACCGAAAAATAAGTGATTGAAACTTTGTAATAGACTGACTCTATATTTGGTATAAAAAGAAATTAAAAAATTTCAATTAATTTTTTAATAGTTTATAAAATTAATAAATCATACTTAAATGTAATAAACTATTAAAAACAATAAATTAATTAATACTAATAGTATATTTAGATTTAATGCCCAAGTTATAAATAAACCTTATAACTTGGGATAAGATTTTTACAAAAGTGTTAAAAACAAAACCAAAAGCGCTGCAAACCAGCCATTAAGAAAACCGATAAAAAGGAACTTCAAAATCAATGCTTTTGATGAGTTTGTTATTCATCGCTGGCACTATTGTGATTACTGTTCTTATCATTTCTTTGTGTGCATACACAACAAAACCAACTGGGTACACTCGCATTGATCCCGACAGGTACCAACGACAGGAATTGACATTTTCGGACATGGTAGCACGTATCAAAACACTCCACGCGCGCCCCTTGGCGAAAACATCTGTTGCAATAGATATTCCTCGTCTTGTCTCAAAATTGGTTATTTCAAATGCCGATGGAGTTGTTGCGGACGGCCCAGAGATATCCACATCACACGACAACGACACATACCCAATGGAGAAGACAACCAAAGAGGTTGTTTCTCTGCTCACGTTAGCCACAGAAGGAGAGATCAAACAGAGTAATTTTGTTCAAACTTTCGACGACGTCTTCACATATGTTAAAAACAACGGGAATGGTGACTGTGGCACACTCTTTGCAAAAGTTCTCCAACAAGTTTTCACTGAGGATTCTCTTACATTGTGTATTATGAAAACATTCACTCAAGCACTTTTTGCAGCTGCTGTGGAGTTTTTATTACCATTGAGATTAAAGCACTCATATCACGACGGGCACACTGGGTGGAGAATATCTGTTAAATTGGAAAAAGAAGAAATTATAGTTAAACACATAAAAGGGGAAACTAGCTATAAACCAGACGCCTTTACGTTCGAGTGGAGTTTATTGTATATCATCGACACTGCTAACCATACAATCAAAAATGTTTCGTTGTCTGTGTTTAATATACAATTCAAGGACTACCCCACTGCTCTTCAAACGGATTTCTATACTATGGTCGAAAAAATAAATAACTCAGCTCATCTGTGATTCGTTCATTTTTTGATTCCATATCTAATGTAACAAAAACAAAGGGAAAGAAAGTCACATGTAATTTATTCGCTATCCTCTCCACCAGAACTCACATCTTCGTTCGCGTCGTAGTCTCCACCAGCTCTCTATTTGTTATTTGCAACGTTTATAATTATCTTTATAATAAACAAACGCCAATCAAGTCTTGTAAACGCTCTCCTTGCAATAACGCTCTGAACAGGAAGTTGTCCATGTTCATATCTCCGTTTCGAGTGAATGTTCGTTGTCTTGTGAGTAGTGCCGGTCTTACAGCTCTGACCGCATCGGGGTATTTTCTACACACAAATTCGGTGACTATTCTCATGTCAACTCGTATGTTCCCTGATAACAACAAATCAACTGCAGACTCTTTGTTGCCAGAACACATACAATATGCTACAAATGACGTTTCTTGGTCAAACCCAATTTCTGTTAATACTGCTATTTCGTTCATTTGTGGTTGTGTAAGCCCGTTTAACACTCTGTTCAACTCCTCCGGCGATAACGGTTCCTCGTCGCGTTTAAACTCCTTTAGCCCCATTGTGGTTGGTTCAAACAGTTCCGCTTTCGCATTTTTTTGGGATGTGCGGATGACCATAACCAACTCCTCATGGTCTTGGAGCTCGACATCGTTCTCAATAGCCTTCCCGCCTTGGAAAACGGAGTAGCCCTTTGCGTTAGTATGTTTACCAGTAATTATAATTCGGCCTTATATTAACAAACCGTCTTTCCAAGGTCAGTTATCGCTTTCCCAATTACCGTCTTAAGCTCTTCCAGCTTGACATGTTTTTGAATTGTTATTGGCGTTGATCCATACTCTACCGAGTTTATTGTTACACACACCTCGTTCATTTCTCTGTTTCTATTATTTGATTTTTGTTTTTTTTCCACTTTCTATTTTTGTTATGAAGATTTCACTTTTTCCCATTTTTTTCCCTATTCAACATCTTTGTGTTGTTCAGTTTTCAAACAAATAACATGTTTCAATTGGCTTAAAAAAAGTTTCAACTAATTAACTATATTTTTTTAATCTCTTGAAATAAGTTCATTATAAAATACAGTTTGAATCTTTAGTTTTGAGTATTTAATAAAATAATACTATATATTGTATATATAGTATTATTTTATTATATGTTTTTATTATTAAACCAATTTTAAATAAATATATTCTTAAAAACGCAAATTAGTACATATTAATAAAAAGCTAATCAAATGAAACTATATAATTATAGTAAAAAATCAACTATTTTTAAATTTTTATTAGAGTCAGTCTTTTAACGTTATCTGGTGGACAAATAATAGCTTCATTTTTGTCTAAACATCGGGCATTAGGTAAAACGTGAAAAAACCCGAAACAATTGGGATGGATTTTTGGGACTGCTCCCCGAATTATTCCATTTTTTATGGTCCAAAAGGCACCAGATAACGTTAAAAGACAGACTGTAGTTTAATTAATTTAATAAAATCAGTGATTTGACATGAGTTCAAAATCAAATATCAATTAGACAAAAAAAGTTTTAAAAAATTGAAGTTGTCCCAAACACAAAATCTAAAAACACGTTGAAGTTAAAAATCGTCAACCCTTAGAGATAAGCATTATACAAACGACTTGTGTCCACGCTCGGGCCGTACTTAAGTAACCCAAACCCTCCTTTGAACGATAAGTTTTTTTTGAACGTTTTGATTTCGACGTCTTCGCCTTTGTCAATTTTGTTTTTGAAAGACATTTTAGAGCTCGACGGTGTTGTCGACTTTGAAATGCTCTCCGTCGCTGTTTCTGTGAAACTGTCTGTCGCACTGTTATCGCGACTCAAATTTGTGGCTTTTATCCCACCTATTAACTCTGCTATTCTCTCAGTGTCTTTCCCTTCGCTTGGATTCTTCTCGTCAATTAACAGTGAGTCGACTCCCCTCGATGCCTCGTCGATTAATTTCACTGAACCAAAGTTCTCGATTTCGTCGCAAACGCGCTTCATATGTGTGACCTCGTTCCTTAACACTCCAACGATATGTCCAATCTTGCGGCCTTCCTCTTTAATTGCGACACTAGTTTCTTCTTCCTCATCTTCCCATACAAGACATAAAGTCTCTTTTTTGAATTCATTTTGTAAGGAAAAAGCCGTGTTGAAAAACGCCTCAGTGCTTTTAAGTTGTCTTCCCAACTGTAGTACCCCGTTTCTGACCAAGTTGCTTTTCTTGAGTGGCTCTTTCGAAATTTCTCTGAACTCGGAGATTTTCTCGAGTACCTTCTGAGTACTTTCTGGAAGTTTAGAAAAGTCCAAATTTTTGTTCCTCAGTAGAGGGGGTTTTGGTAAGAGAGCCATTGAAGGGAGAAGGAGAGGTGAGTTGTCGTCCAAAACGAATGGAGTGTCTTGTAAAGGAGACATGGTAATAGAATTCCTTAGACTTTCGCTCTTGTAAGTGATCTCGGGGTATGCTGGTATTTGGAGTTGTGGAAAGACAACACCCATCTTAGTGTATGTTTCAAAGAGCCTTGAGTAGCTGTCGTTAGTTGGGTACATCTGCATCAGTTGAATGAAATTCATTGCTTTGAGTTGAACCATTGTGGCCTTTTGCTTAAAGAACCCAACAAGTTTCTAAAAGTCAATATGTGTTTGGTGCGACAAAAGAGCTCGTTAATCATAAAATTGAGAACAAAATTATGACGAACTTTCCAGCAGTGATGGTAAGATCAACAAACGTCGAGCTGCGCAATCTTTTCGATCGAGCAGACAAAAGATGGGTCGATGACGTGTGCCTCAAAATGGTTGACGTTGACCACCAAATATTCGACAAGACAAAGTGTGTAAAAGACTTCGAGAGAGGACACAAAGCGATACAGATGAGCTTTAAGCTTGGTAGAGATGAGTTGAGCCAAATGTTGCCGTGTAACCAAATTGCCTCGAGCAAAGTGAGCAAGTTTTGAGAAGAGAATATAGTTAGGGGATGTGTTAAAGTCGTTTGTAGCTTTCTCTAGCAGTGTGCTAAGAGTATTGCAACGGCTCTGCATATACTGAACTTTCTTTGAAATTTGAGTTTTTTTACTGAAGTAAATAAGCATTTTTGGTCATTCGGGGGTTTTTGGTGGGAAAAAAAAAGAAAGAAAGACAAACCTGCAAAAGTCATCGCTTTGATGGTTCTTTTACCATCGAAAAACCATCGTTCGAAGGATGACTATAATTGTTTTTTAATTAAAAAGTATTATTCCAAAACTTCCAGTAAAAATGGTTGTATTGAATTTCAAAGTCTTTTTGGTGGAAACGAGGCGATACGAGGTTTTCGGGAAACAAAGTGCTTTTCATCAAATTTGCTCACTATTTTCGGAATTTCTTCTCCTTTTTATTTTGATAACTTACGTGTAACAACTCCTATTTATCGGGATATTACTCTTTTTATTTATAGTGAGTTTTGGATTTTCTTTTAAACAAAACATACCAAATGGCAAAAAACTTTAAAAAATGCGGGAAATGACCAACCCAACAAAAAACTATCAGTATATTAGACATTTTGTGCTTTATTTCTCGACATTTTTTTCACAACTGTTCAACTTGTAATCTCCTCGAGAAATTTTAGGTTTTTATGGTTCTGAAGATCGTGATCTATTAAAGATCTGGAAGGTGAGAATCTTTACCTAAAATGAAAAAAATATTCTTTGATTTGAAGCAGTATTTCGGGAAAAGAAAAAAACTATCTATTTTTTACTCTAATTTAATAATTTCAAAAACCAATGTCATGAGTTTACTTATTCACATGAACTTTCCAAATTACTTCAACCAATGAATTCTCAATATTTTCAAACATACAAATAGTAAATGATATAATAAATATACTATAACAAGAACCAATGATCAGACGTTGAAAGTTTGACATCAAAGGCTATGTTCAGTTGGTGCCGATAGAATTATCTTTGTTGGTGCATTGAGGACGGGAAGAAGGCAACCGCACCCAATAGTGCAGAGGATAGCAAGAACAGCGCCAATATAAAATACGCACACCAAAGATATCCCAAATGAAAGGAGGAGTGACACAAAGTAGCTTAAAAGCACAAAGGCAACACTAATTACAACACCAATGAACGACAAATCGATCGCAAATCTTTTCGGCGATGAGATCTTGTTGATTATGATGTATGGCACCGACTGGATAACAGCACCGAGTGTACCAACCATCCCAATCAATACAAAACTTGCTATCAAAAGCCAAATTGGTGGCTCATCATAATACGTTGATAAGTAGTCTACCGCTATCATCCCACTGTGACACAAAGCACATACAAAAGCTGTGCCAAAAAACAAGATGTTTTCGTGTTTGGCGTAAAGTGGAGATAAGAGTGATGAAATGCATTGGACCACAGATTGAAGTAACATAGCAACCATCGACATCGAAATGCCATAGTTGTATAAAGGGTCTGTCGTCTCGGCATGAAACATGTTAATTGCATAGTAATTAGCTACAGAACTTCCTATTACCAACACAGAGCATGTTGCTGTAGTCTGGAGAAAGACAAGTCCCATCAATTTCCATCCAAATCCCTTGATGAACAAAAGAAGTGATTTCCCTACAATTTGAAATTTGCTTCGGTTATTTGGTGATGGCGGTGTCATGGTCTCTTGTTGTGGATCTACTATCTCTAAGGATAGTGGCGCTTTTTCTTCTTTCGACTCATTTTTCATGTCTTGGAGTGGTGTGTTTTCATTCACCGATATTTGTTTTTCATTTTCTTTTGAAAATAATATAGTAAATACACCAGTGATAAGAATAAACACCCCAGCAGACACAAACATAAGCTCGTAATAATACTTCATCTGTGCACAAGTGGCGGCCAAAGTGTAAAACACCAACACAGAAAATCCACCCAACAAAGCTGCAAAGAAGTTGGCTGATCGTTGTTCGTCTTTTTTGATATTGTCCGCAATCAGCGCACGACTCGGCATTTGCATGAGTACAAGCGACCCACTTGAAAACAAAGAAAAAACAACACCAATTGAAATGGAAATTTTCATGCTTCCGTTGCTTGAAGAGTTTATAGAGTCTTCTAGCCCACTTTCATTATCACCACATGCGATACCAATGTAATCGGAAAATGGGATTACTGGTAAAGTCAAAACTGCAACCAGAATCCCAACAAAAATAAAGAATCGTCTTCGTATTTTTTTAACAGGAAAAATATCGGACAGTACACCAACAACTGGTTGTACAACAATGTGCACAATAGGGATAAGTCCTCCAAAAACCATTGCAATTAGTGATAAACTCATTCCAGTTCTTTGGTACATATAAGGACTGATCAACACGCCTATACAAGTCAACCCGAAGTTGTACCCGCTTTGTATTGCTGTAAACGTGAAGTACTTCCACTGTTTTTTTATAACATCCAATAGTCCCATCTTATTTGAAAAAGTTTATTCTCTTATAAAGAATTCAAAGAATAAATACAGACACATACTTTTCTGGTAGAAAAAGATCGTCCATGTATTTTCTTTTCGTTGTTTATACCACTATTATTATTTATGCAAGTTTCATTTTTATTTTCTTGCCATTTGAATATAAGGTCAACCACTTTATTTTACTTTTTGAAATTACTTTTCTTTTTGGAAAAGTATTTAAAAAATAAAAATGGTCTGATTAATTTTATTATATTTTATCATAAAATATATATATTATATTTCAATCAATTATTAGAAAATATTGATATCAGATTCAAAAACTTTTTCAGAAGTTTTAAATTGTTTGATTCAAAAATGATGCTCTGATAAAATAATTATGTAAAAACTTGGTTTTATAGTGTAAAATCTAATTGAAATAATCACAAAATTATAGAGATAGAATAATTAATGGGTGACAAGAATTAATTGGGTGACAGATTAATTTTAAGTAATTTAATAGGTCTTTTGTGAAATTGTTATTTTGTGAAAAAAAATAAATAAAAAAAAAACAAATCCCAGTTTTTTACATCGTTTAATCCCTATTTTTTCTGTCGCCCAATTAATTTTTGTCACCTAATTTTTCTCTCATTTGTAATAGTTATATGAATAGAAATAGAAAAAAATTTTTAATAGTTAAATGAATATAATTTTAAAAATATAAAAAATTCTTTTAGTTAATGAATTTAGTTTGTTTATACTATATATATAGCATAGTTAAAATATTTAGAAATGTATATATATAATATAACTATACATTTTTATGGGTGATGTTGAACAAATATTATATTATATTAATATTAATACTATTGCAAGTTTATGGTATGTTTAGTATATTTAACCTTTTATTATTAAGAATTAATTTATATTTAAAATTACGAAAAAATTAAAAATCAAAATCGCTTCAAAACTAACTAAACAAGTAATTAAATCTTGTTAGAAATAGAAAGAACACAAATCAACACTGAAACATATAAAGAAATTAATGTTCGAAACTTTGTGGCGTCGATTCCTGTGCTCTGTCCATCACTCTTGGGTTGAAGGGTGTTGGGTTGTCGAACTGCATAGGGAAGGCTGTATGGTCTTGAATTGGTCTTGGTGGAGTAGATTGTTGGTGTTGTTGCATTTGTTGAGTTTGTTGTTGGAGAGTGTTTGTGTTGTTTGGCTGGAGTTGTTTTGCGTTCATCTCTTCGTACCTTCTTTTCAGTGTTCTTGCGCTGAATCTAATTTTGTCGATAACGGGTGGTCCGAGTTCTTTTGTACAGTCGATGACTTCTGTCACAATTTTCCATATAGCCTCACTCTTTGCAAAAGGTATACCATTTGCGGCCATGATTTTTGATATCTCTGTTGTAATTCGTTTACCTTCGACTGTCCTTAACTTCTCGACTTCTTTTTTTGGTTTAGTCTCCCATTTCGCCTTCCCTTCGTTTTCAAGCTTTTGGAGGCGCTGTTTGAGATCTTCTGACATTCTTCCTCTTTTATGCTTCTCGCCGCCTGGGGTATCTTGTTGGGTATCGGCAGATGGTGAGTCTTCGTGTGTTTCGGAAAACTCGAGTTTTACTCTTTTTCCGTTCATGTAGAGTTTCACGATTAGTGGCTTCATATCGTCGGTGATATTCTGGTGCTCTTCGATGCAGTGGTAGCACGCATACCCACGCGACATTCTTTTAAAGCATATAATGCAGATATAGTGATCTCTGTCGATCTTTTCCATTAGCCTGTCTCCGAGCCAGTCGACGGCTCTCCTCTTTGCGTCGTCTGTCTTCTCGCGCTTCTCCTTTTTTGCTTTTGTTTCTTCCATTCTTCCTTTTTTTCGATTTTCAGTTCTTTTTTGTTCAGTTCGGTCGTATTTTTGTCCGCAAAGGCAATTCGGTTCTATTTTCCTCTTTTCTTGTTCAAACCCCACACTTTTATTGTTTTTTTCTCTTTTCTTAAACATCAAAAAACATTTTGCCTAACCCTCACCTTTTTGCCCCCTTTTGGAAACTTTCTTATCTTATTTTTTGTTTTTTGATTTTTGTCGTTTTTCTGAAGAGTTTTTCTGGTTTCTTTTTTAATTCTTTGTTACTATAAAACTTTTCAAAACACCACCTTTTTGACTTTTTTGGTTTTTTCAGGTCATGTTTTTCTAAGTTCTGTTTTCAACGCATTTTTAGGTTATTTTGGCTTTACAATTATGTTACTCCCGCTTGTTTCGACGCTTATACTTAGTTCAAAAAATTGTTTCCAAATTTGTGTTAACATGGGTGAAGATTGCTTTATTCTTATCAATTTCGTGTTGCAGTAAATCAATGGAATAATAGGTTTCATTTGTTATGTTTTTCGGGATACTCGCCCCAATTATTTATTAGAACCCCTATTCTTATTATTTAACATCATTTTTAATTCAACGAAAACCAAAATTAACAACAAATATCATTATTATTTTTATTTATTAAAAACCATATTTTTATTATAAAAACAACTCGTTAATTAATTAAAATAATACAAACTATTTATCGTTAATTAAAACAATCTTTTCTTCATAAAATTATAAATGTCTAAAATAGAAACGGTAATTTGGTAACAAATAATCCCGATAAATACGTCAAAAAGACCGATTTATAAACAAATACCAAAAACATGAACTTTATAAACTGTGAAATAATGACCAACATATTTTTTTAATTATTAATTAGTTATATCATAACAAACAAAAAAAATATTAAAAAGATAATTCTTTTTAAAGATTATATCATTCTATTAAACTATATTTAAATAATAAAATTAATTATAATGATAATATATTATAGTTAGTTAATGTATGTATTAAATATTAAATTATTTATTTTGTTATTGTTTTTTTTACATAAAATTCTCAAATTATAATTTTGATTTTTACAGTCAAAGAAAAACAACAGATTACTGTTTGTTTGTTTTTCATTAAAAAAATATTTAAATTTCCAAATAAAAAAAAACAATACGGCACTTATGTACAAAACATCGGGAAACCATTTAGAACTATTACAATTTTATTTTATATAATTATATTGACTTCAAATTACCTTGAACAAAAATTAAGTGGTATAAAAATCAGGAAATCTCGAGTTTATAAATAACTTTTCCTGTTTATTAGAAGTTTATTTTGTGTATAAAAACACACTGTTTAGAAAATAAACATCAAAAAGTAAAGTGACTTCCCCAAGGTGTGCAAGTTAAAATTTTTAGTCTTTTTTACAGGGAAAGGGCGTGCAAGACTAAATTTCAGTTGAAAAACATTTTATTAAAAATGTTATTCGTTTCCAAATTGTTTCAAAAAACACACAATTCTTCGGTGCTTGAATTAATAAACTACAAAAAGCAAATTAAATTATAAAAATTGGGTTATGGTTTGTCTATGTGTTTAATGTAAAAACTGTTTTGTTTCAAGAACGTGAATAAATGTCGGTGTCTCTTGTGTTAGCGTAATTCAAAGCGACAAGAAGAAGTATGATAAACATTATGTTTTTCTCTGTGCCATTTTATAGCAAACAATAACAAATAGTCTGTTTAATAGGTGCAGTTCATTGTTACAAATCGATGTGCACTGTTGTCTAGAACTGGTCCTTCGATAATTTCCATTGGGTCGTTTTCCCGAAATTGTTGCTTAATTTATTGTATTCGAAGTGTGAAAGTCAAAAATTGCAACGTCACAAGGTGTGCAAGTTAAAGTATAGTTTAGTAATAACTTCGAAATTATAATTAATAATTAAACTAAAAATAATCTTTTTTTTTCAAAACTTCAAAAAATTAATGATTCTATTTTTTTAATAAAAAAAATTATAAATGAACTATACCTTAACTTGCACAGCTTGGGAAGTCACTTTATTATATATATTTTGTACATATATATTTTCATTAGTAAAAAACAAATTAATGAAAAAACTTTAAAATGATTATTAGAGTTGATGCAATTAATCAAAAAATGTAAATTTACTCTTTTATAATTGAAAGAAAACACTTTTTAAATCAATTTGAAGCTTTTAATTGATCAAATGAAAGACCAAATGACTTTGGCCACAATGTGATGTACTTTGCTATGGCATCAACTGCTTCCTCGAGTTGTTCTGGTGTTTCATTGTGGACTTCCCAGACCAATTTGTGCTGATAGTTTTCCATTGCTTCGTCAAGACACACTTGGAAAATTTCACAGTCAAGGTTGTTTGTCACTTTGTTCTCTTTATACCCCCTTACCCTCATTTTCTCATTCACTTTTCGGTTTTGTAATTTAAATTATATGAAAGTGATAATAACTTAATAACACAAACTTTTGAAGAAGACGATCATATAGAACTGTGTTGTCTGTGCGCAACACAACAACCAAGTCAAACCACCGTTCGGGAAAGAGTTGTGAAGAGTGATACTCCAACAAAAACCCTTCTTTTTTTTGAACGTCTTCCAAGTAGTCCAACACCTTTATGTTATTCTTTTTCACAGAGTTACAGAAAATCGCAACAAAGAAAATACAAACTTTGTCTTCGTCGATGACTAGTGTGTCCATTTCTTCGTCACGTGATTCATAAAAACCATTTTGTGTAACTACATCACCCACATTCACATAATTAATATTCACCTTTTCGGTTACCATCTGACAAACCAACGACTTCCCCGTCCCCGGTGTTCCAGTGACAAGAATGTTTGGTCTTTGTCTATCCCCTTTCGACATGGATTTCCCTTTTTTGATGTTTTTTATACTCAAA